ACCTTTGCAAGTTTGCGGCTAGTCTCGAAAAGTGAGGCCATACAGAAAAAGTATGCACAAGTAGATATGTAGATATAGATTGGGCATATCTAGACCAGGGCAGCTAAGACTCTTCTGGGCATCCAATAGCCCAGAAAAGCCCCAGCCTAGAAAAACTCCCAGTCTGAGCGACATGCCCTGGAGAAATGAGGCTATATACAGGTGTGGGTGGGTGGGAGAAAAATGATATGGCTCTGAAAGAGACGAAATCAAATGAAGAGCCGTTGACAGGTGCAAAACAGGTGGCTATATAGCTCGTACTGGACACCTGTCCCCAACCCCTTGCCGGGGTACCAACAGGGGTACCAACCCACTAACCCCCAGTCCCACTGTGGCGAACGGCTGATCAAACAGCCACCAACGCTATGGCCTCATAATGGACCCACTAACCCACAGTCCCACTGTTGCGATTAGTGCTCGCAAACAGTGAGGCCATACAGAAAACACGTATGCACAAGTAGATATGTAGATATATGATTGGGCATATCTAGACCAGGGCAGCTAAGACTCTTCTGGGCATCCAATAGCCCAGAAAAGCCCCCAGCGCTAGAAAAACTCCCAAAACAACCCAAGACGTCGTCCAAAGAGGGCGAAGATCTCGAGGATGACTCTGACGGTACCTACCGCAGCAAGCAGTAGGGACCGACAGCACTAGCGCGGACGGGCTGGAAGATGCTGGTGCCGTAGTGAATAGTAGGTAGGCTGGGTGAGTGACGAAAGGGCGGTAGGAATCGACTCCCTCAACACCAAGTTGCAGCCCTTCTGCGGAAGGACTGGCCGAATAATGGCCCTCAACACCAAGTGACGTCAGCACCTCGCGGAGGTTGCCGGTGACGGCTTTCCCAGCTGGAATAACGGCGCATCAGGTGGGGCTTCCCACCTGATGTACCAATGACTACCAATGACTGACATCAGGTGGGGCTTCCCACCTGATGTCCAATGGCTACCAATGACTGATATTAGGTGGGCTTCCCACCTGATGTATCAATGGCTACCAATGACTGACATCAGGTGGGGCTTCCCACCTGATGTACCAATGGCTACCAAGACTGACATCAGATGGGGCTTCCCACCTGATGTACCAAGACGACATCAGGTGGGCTTCCCACCTGATAACCAATGCTACCAAGACGACATCAGGTGGGGCTTCCCACCTGATGTACTAATGCTACCAATGACTGACATCAGGTGGGGCTTCCCATCTGATGTACCAATGGCTACCAATGACTGACATCAGGTGGGGCTTCCCATCTGATGTACCAATGGCTACAATGACTGATATTAGATGGGGCTTCCCACCTGATGTATTAATGGCGGCATCAGGTGGGGCTTCCCACCTGATGTTAGGCTTTGACGCTATACGTCATCGCCCGATGCAATAGCCCAAATGGCTGGAATAGCTGGGTATCTTAATGGCTGCGGTAGTCTGGAATATGACTGTGATAGTTGGACTGAGATATCCCCATGGCTGCGGTAGCCCAAATAGCTGGAATAGTTGAAACATCCCCATGGTTGCGATAGCCCAAATACTGAAATAACTGAGACATCTCCATGGCTGCGGTAGCCCCGATAGCTGGAGTGACTGAGACATCCCCAGGGCTGCGATAGCCCAAATGGCTGGAATAGCTAAGAATCTTTATGGCTGCGGTAGCCAAATAGCTGGGATAGCTGAAATATCCCCATGGCTGCGGTAGCGTAAACAGCTGAAATAACTAGACATCTCCATGGCTGCGATAGCTGGATATCCCTGTGGCTGCAATAGCCCAAATGGTTGGAATAGCTGAAACATCTCCACGGCTGCGGTAGCCCAAATAGTTGGAATAGTTGAGACATCTCCATGGCTCGATAGCTGAGATATCCCTGTGGCTGCGATAGCCCAAATGGTTGGAATAGCTGAAACATCTCCACGGCGCGTAGCCCAAATAGTTGGAATAGTTGAGACCTCTCCATGGCTGCGGTACCCAAATAGCTGAAGGCTCGGAGCCCAAATAGCTGAAATAGCTGAAACATCTCCAGGCTGCGGTAGCCCAAATAGTTGGAATAGTTGAGACATCTCCATGGCTGCGATAGCTGAGATACCCGTGGCTGCGATAGCCAAATGGTTGGAATAGTTGAGACCTCTTTATGGCTGCGGTAGCCCAAATAGCTGAAGGCTGCGGTAACCCAAATAGTTGAAATAGCTGAGACATCTCCAAAGCTGCGATAGCCCAAATAAGTGGAATAGTTGAGAGTTCTCCATGGCTGCGATAGCTGAGATACCCTTATGATTGCGATAGCCAAACAGCTGAAATAACTGAGACATCTCCATGGCTGCGGTAGCCCAAATAGCTGGGATAGCTGAAATATCCCCATGGCTGCGGTAGCCCAAGTAGCTGAAATAACTGGGACATCTTTATGGTTGCGATAGCCAATAGCTGAAATGGCTGGGACATCTCCAAGGCTGCGGTAGCCCGAATAGCTGAAATGGCTGGGACATCTCCAAGGCTGCGGTAGCCCAAATACTGGAATGGCTGGGACATCTCCAAGGCTGCGGTAGCCCAAGTAGCTGAAATAACTGGGATATCCCATGGTTGCGATAGCCGAATAGCTGAAATGGCTGGGACATCTCCAAGGCTGCGGTAGCCCGAATAGCTGAAATGGCTGGGACATCTCCAAGGCTGCGGTAGCCCAAATAGCTGAAATAGCTGGGACATCTCCAAGGCTGCGGTAGCCCAAATAGCTGGAATACCCGAGACATCTCCATGGCGCAGAGCCCAAATAGCTGAAATATCCGCATGGCTGCAATAGCCCAAATAGCTAAAATGACTGAAATATTCACATGGCTGCAATAGCCAAATAGCTGAAATAGCTGAAATAGCCACATGGCTGCAATAGCTCAAATAGCTGAAATAGCTGAAATAGCCACATGGCTGCAATAGCCCAAAATAGCTGAAATAGCCACATGGCTGCAATAGCTCAAATAGCTCAAATAGCTGAAATAGCCACATGGCTGAATAGCCAAATAGCTAAATAGGAAATAGCCACAGGCGCAATAGCTCAAATAGCTCAAATAGCTGAAATACCAATGGCTGCAATAGCTCAAATAGCTCAAATAGCTGAAATAGCCACATGGCTGCAATAGCTCAAATAGCTGAAATAGCTGAAATATCCGCATGGCTGCAATAGCCCACATAGCTGAAATGGCTGGGACATCTCCAAGGCTGCGGTAGCCCGAATAGCTGAAATGGCTGGGACATCTCCAAGGCTGCGGTAGCCCAAATAGCTGGAATGGCTGGGACATCTCCAAGGCTGCGGTAGCCCAAGTAGCTGAAATAACTGGGATATCTCCATGGTTGCGATAGCCCGAATAGCTGAAATGGCTGGGACATCTCCAAGGCTGCGGTAGCCCGAATAGCTGAAATGGCTGGGACATCTCCAAGGCTGCGGTAGCCCAAATAGCTGAAATAGCTGGGACATCTCCAAGGCTGCGGTAGCCCAAATAGCTGGAATACCCGAGACATCTCCATGGCTGCAGTAGCCCAAATAGCTGAAATATCCGCATGGCTGCAATAGCCCAAATAGCTAAAATGACTGAAATATTCACATGGCTGCAATAGCTCAAATAGCTGAAATAGCTGAAATAGCCACATGGCTGCAATAGCTCAAATAGCTGAAATAGCTGAAATAGCCACATGGCTGCAATAGCCCACGAAATAGCTGAAATAGCCACATGGCTGCAATAGCTCAAATAGCTCAAATAGCTGAAATAGCCACATGGCTGCAATAGCTCAAATAGCTGAAATAGCTGAAATAGCCACATGGCTGCAATAGCTCAAATAGCTGAAATAGCTGAAATAGCCACATGGCTGCAATAGCTCAAATAGCTGAAATAGCTGAAATATCCACATGGCTGCAATAGCCCACATAGCTGAAATAGCCACATGGCTGCAATAGCCGAAATAGCTGAAATAGCTGAAATAGCTGAAATAGCTGCAATGATTGAAAACATCCACATGGCTGCAATAGCCCAAATAGCTGAAATAGCCACATGGCTGCAATAGCTCAAATAGCTGAAATGGCTGCAATAGCTCAAATGGCTGAAATGGCTGAAATAACTGAAAACAACATGGCTGCAATAGCTCAAATAGCTGAAATAACTGAAATACTCAAATAGCTGCGATGCCTGAGATAGCCGACTTAGCTGAAATGGCTACATACCATATAGCTATAATAGCTGACTATCCTTATAGCCGTATGGCTTCAGTGGCTGAAATGACTGAAATTTCAATGTAGCTGCGATAGCTGAGGTGAACAGTTATAGGTGGAATGGCTGAAGTGTGTATCCAAATGGTAGTGGCATGGTCGCATGGCCGTACGGCTGTAAATGGCTGGAATGGCTCCAATAGCTGGAATGGCTCCAATGGCTGGAATGGCTCCAATGGCTGGCATGGCTCCAATGGCTGAATAGCTGCAGATATCTATGTGACTGCAATAGCCTCAAATAGCTGGTATGCTGGACAATTCCATATGGCTGGAAATGGCTGAGTAGCCTCATGGCCGCATGGCTGCAATAGGGCTGAAATAGGGCTGAAATATCCATGTGACGTGGCCTCAAATAGCTGGAATAGCTAAATAGCTTCATGGCCGCATGGCTGAAATAGCCGAAATATCCTTTCGCAATGACTGATAAAGAGAAAAATGATATGGCTCTGAAAGAGACGAAATCGAATGAAGAGCCGTTGACAGGTGCAAAACAGGTGGCTATATAGCTCGTACTGGACACCTGTCCCCAACCCCTTGCCGGGGTACCAACAGGGGTACCAACCCACTAACCCCCAGTCCCACTGTGGCGAACGGCTGATCAAACAGCCACCAACGCTATGGCCTCATAATGGACCCACTAACCCACAGTCCCACTGTTGCGGCATTTGAAGATGTGATCAAAACCCTCGAACGAGTCATAAACTCTTCCGTGACACGTCTCAGTTTTTCAACATACCACAAGAAGAGATCAAAGCGAAAGAATACTCACTACCTCTCCCAGCACCTAAGACATCGCCATCCGAAAACCCTCCACACGCTGTAAGCCCCACAAAGGAAGAGAAAGACTTGCGGCCATAAATGAGATCTGTCATATGTACGTCCTCGGCTAGGAAACCGGCGTACGCCATCTCCTTCGCTCCGTTGACACCCTGTTCGCGCAGTATGGCAACAAGTGGCTTCTGTTTGAGGGATAATCTCTGCGAGAACTTGGAAGCGAGAGACGGAGCAGAATTCAGGAAGCTTTTTCCGTGCAAAGGTTCTGCAGGGCCGAAGGTGATATTATAGGACAGACCTGGATCGGAGTCATCTTCGAACGTTGCCTGTTCTGTATCTGCACAATCCGGATTGTTGCGTACGCGCTGCATGTGATAAGATGTGCTGCTCCAGAATTTCTGTAGCTCTGAACGACGGTTGCGATAAAGAAGCGAGGCTGGGTCGGCGTTGTGGTAGATAGAAAGCTCCTGATCAGATGTGACAGTGCCAATCCTTTCGATCATCTCAGGTGGTGGACCACAATTGGCGAAGCATCGCTTGAACATAGTCTCATCTCTCTTTCCGACTTGGAAGACTGTGACCATTTTACTTATCAGCTGCTTTCACTGCGAGAACTTAGAAGAAACATTTCAAAATGACCAGTAGCAGACGACTGACGGGTTCGAGGAGCAGTGGCTCCTTCATTAGGTTTCACTACTAGAGTATCCTCTGAAAGGGGCCATTTCAGATACAATATAGAACGTACCTGCCGCAAGCTCCTCCGTGAAGAGTGTGGAAATGATGTCCGCTGTCTCGTTTCGGCAGAAATTCTCCAAGAGAAGGCTTGCACCGCATCTCCCAGCAAATATCATCTCCACGATAGCTGTGAAGATCCCACCGTCAGATCCCGCATCGTGGTATGCTAGGACTACCCCTGAATCGTGTGCTTCCTCGATAGCATAGAAGAAGTCTTTCAGAAATTGAACTGGAGAACACGAAAGTGTCAGCGCTTTTGATTTGGACTACACAGTTGTGAGGTCTCGGAGAAGATGGACCCTTACCTTTTCGTACATCAGGCATTTCATCTCCGACTTATCCAAAGGCTTGAGCCAGGGCACTGCCCCCAAGAGATTTGTGTCCTTCTGCAAGGTCAGCGACCAGCAGGATTGTTTCACCAATCCCATTCTCCTCCGGTCTTCTCAGCCGAGGCTTTCATGTGTTGGTGATATTTTAGACCATTCTAAAAGCGGATGTTACCAGAGAAAGAGGGGCTACGACCTCCCTAGCCTCCTGGCTTTGCTGGTCCCGCCAACCCATTTTCATGGGTGTCGAGTCTTTCCCCACCAGTATACTTATTCTCAACTGCTTACACAGCGCTACGACGGCCTTGACAGCTTCATAGAGTGCTGCTCCCTCTCCTGGATGGTGGATGGCCGACGTCCAGTTTGCGGATAGCGGATAGGCGAGTTTTTGTAGCGAGACGTCTGCAGCAGCCATATTGCACAATGCCTCAGCAACTTCCATCCTCGCGGATGCACCAGGATTGATCAGTGCGAGGGTCGGCTTTATTGCTGTTGCTGTTCTGGTCCTTATCCCCTTTTGCAAACAAGTAGCTGTGACACCAACATCTGCAACAGGAATTTGCCTAAGAAGGTCGGAGCGTTAGCAACCTTTTCCAACAAAATGAAAATCTCTAGTTTTGCAAAATCGTCAACGAAAGCCTGTCTCCACTCACCACGGTCCCACAAGCTGATCCCTAGCAACCTGCCCTCCCACAGTTCGATCTCCAATTGCTATCAGAAACATCTTGGAGGCAACTGAGGAGAGCCGCATAATTCGCCTCACTATCCCATCCAAGTAACTGTGCTTAAGTTTAGGAAGGTAGGTAGGGCGACGGGTAGAACATATCTTTCCTGCGCCTCATTGCACCAGATCTCGTAGCAGCTGAACAGAATTCAGAGTCAGCACGGCGTTCCTCAGTCGAACGAGGGTCACGATGTAACGAGAGAAACACAGCGTCTCAAGGGACGCCTTTACTGTCTGTTGACCTCTGGAAAGAAAAGGAGAGGGTAGGGAAGCCAGAAAATTTACCCACTTCTACATCCTGCGTTGTCGTTATCACGGAGCTCAAAGTTTCCTCCAATGCTAATGTCATGAACGAGTTCGGGAATCGCATTGCTCAAGCCACCCGCACCCACATCACGTATGAACAGGATTGGGTTGTCATTTGCCATGGACGCGCAAGCGTTGATAACCTCTTGAGCCCGACGCTGTACTTCGGCGCTGTCTCTTTGAACGGAGGCAAAACCCTATCGTTCGTCAGCAGCGGCATGTCAAGGATTGGGTGTCAAGGAACGTGTGCAGAGCAAGCGCTCCCCATGAAGATTAATGGAGCGAAAATACGGCCTCGAACGAGAAGTAGGGGCTGGTAAAAGACGTACAAGGTCCGCAGAGCCCTCATTTGACGTTGTGCAGAAGAGGCGGATCCACTACTAAGCCCAACCAGCATTGAGGGGCCACCGAGCACGACTATGATTGATCCAGATGGTACAATAGCTGGATCCTTGAGAAAATATTGCGGTCGCACAGTGCCCATTCCACCAGCAGGGAAAAGGAAAAACCGCCCAAACCACCCGAGAAAAAAAAGAATTTTTTTTTTTGGTTTTTTTTTTTGGGGTTTTTGTGTGGGGTTTTTTTTTGAAATTTTTTTTTTTATATTTTTTTTTTTTTTTTTTTTTTTTCAAAAAAAAAAAAAGGGATTTTTTTTTTTTTTTTTTTTTTTTTTCCCCCCAAGGGGGGGGGGATTTTTTTGGTGGGACGAGGTGGCCTGCCTACATCGAGCTCTCATGGCTGCTTGTGTCCAGGGATATTGAGATCTGAAACAGCGAAACCGCAGATTCCAGCCTGCGGAGAGCTGCCTCTTCCTACGCTTCCTTTATCTACAGAGTAAATCTGCATTAGTGTGCCATTTTCCGAACAATATAGACAGGAGTGACATTTCCAGCAAGTTGTGCTTGACACGCATTTGCCATATCCGAATGAGGTTCTGAGGGCAAAGCTTATCGCTGGCAAGACATACCTCTGATCTTACCTCCAGCTCCAGTTGCAGCGCCTGGCCAAGGACTAATTGCTGTCGGGTGCTCAAGGACCAGTTCAACAATAGTATGCCCTGGGAAAGGAGGGAACGAAGAGTGCGAGGGATCTGTCGGTCGCCAGTGCTGCTGAGAGTCCATGATGATTGCATGTGGCCTGGTAAGGAAATATTTTCTTTTAGGTACACCTACGTTATGCTTATTGAAACTGGGGGCTAGCATGGGTCTAAGGAAACAATGATGATATACCTTGAACTTTTCAATCATAATGTATCCTGAGCTGTAGACCATGGTTCATCCTGAAGATTTCCGCGCGTTTTAATACAGAAAGAGGATATTGAAATGAGCCTTGATGTTTACTTACAGTTTCTACCTTTATGACGTTGTAGACTGGCTTATCCACGACGTTGTATTCGCCATTGATGTGTGAGGGCGGCAGAAAGGAGCCTTCCGAGCCCAAAATGACTGCCGCGTTGTCACTGTAGGCACTGGACAAGGCATTGAATTGTTCGCTGAGGCAATATACGTATTAGTCTTGGCTCACTTCCATTGGCGGTGTCTGAAGGCCTAGCAGGCGACATCCGAGCTTGGAATATTTGCTTACTGCACCAAGGTCGGAGTTAGCATAGTCTTCTTGTCAATTCGCTTGATAAGATCCTTGAAGCCCCAGACATGGACAATGTTGGTAGCATTGCTACTCCACGGTGATATTGTCCGAGGTGCAACATAAAAGACCTTTAAATTACGAGGATGGCTGGATTGACTCTAGCGACTCTGATCCGCCAGTCAATCCGTCATTGAAAGTTTTCACATCCTCAGGTGTGGGCACCCCCCCGCCTAGGCACTCGTGAAGAGCAACATGATATTTATAGACAGCATGCAATTCAGCAACGTTCAGTTGCCGAGCTAGGCCTTTTCTTTTGCGCTTGTTGAAAGCCTGCCCGCCGCGGAAGATAAGTAGCTGGGTCATATCCTAGCTGAATATCAAGGGTTCTCAGTTATTGCTGCTGCTAGTCGAGTAGTTGCTTCTTAGTCAAAACCACCCTGAACTAAAACTTTGATGCAGCTGCTTTTTGTTGGTAGGGGCCGGTAAAAGTCGAACAGTCGCTGCTCATTCGCCAAGGGACTCTGAAGTGGTTACAGTTATTGGGTTCCAATATAAAGATTTACAGCATCAACGATGTCCTCTTGGCAGTCTGGCGCGGGAGTTCCCACCAATGAGACCACCTCGTTTTTCCCTCAAATTTGATGCCTTTCGGAGAGGCTAGCTTCTTACAGCTAGACTGCCAAGTGGCAAAACTTTTCGGCCGCACGAGTATGCTGGGCGGGAAGGAGAGGACCTAAGAAACTCCAATACACACGTTCTTAAAATCCTATATATCTTTTTTTTTCAATTGTAATTCATCTAACCACGCCCTTCACCCGCAATAATATTTCATATAAGATATTATCCATTTCAGAGGTACCATCTCCAACTTCTCCTCTTCGAAGTGTAGGCAGAAATAGCACAGCGGTGCTCACCATGTGCCCACCATCCTCTTTCAACTCCAGCTCAACCTCTCCCATCACCAATGCTGCTACAATTAGTCCTCCCAACATAGTTCCCCCATCCCCCATATGCACAAGCACCTACCATCTCGTCCGACAGAGCCTTCCACCCGCAATCTTCAACCACAGCCTCCGAGTCTACCTCTACACCCAAGCTCTCGCCCAATGCGCGAACTCCCCCTGGGTAGCTCCCGACCGTCTCCCCCTCCTATTCGTGGCGTGTCTCTTCCACGACATGGGATGCGCAACCGAAAACGACGGCCCGCAACGTTTCGAAGTCTGCGGCGCCGATGCCGCCGCGGGGCACCTCCGGAAATTTGAGGTCAACGACACGGATGTCCAGGAAGTGTGGACAGCGATTTCCTTGCACACTTCGCCCGGTATCGCAGAGCGGATTACGCCGCTCGCTCGGTTGGTGAGGCTGGCTGTGCTCATGGATTTCAATGAATTGGGGAAGAGTTCCTGGATTACTGAATCCGAGCTGGAAGTCGATGAGGAGAATTATCGGCGGAGCATCGAGGAGCGATTCCCTCGTCTGAGCGCCGAGAAGGTGCTGGGAGATATTGTGGTGGAGCAGGGTATGAGGCAGTCTACAAAAGCTCCAGCGGCAAGCTGGGCTGGGGTCATGGTTAGAGCAGCGAAGGAGGAGCCGGAGTGGGAGGGAATTAACAAGGCATTTTGAATCGGTGTTGATAAGGGTTTAACCAGACCTGAAACTTTCCCCCTCCCCCTTTCAGGTCTTCTTCGTCCTTGTTCTTCATGCATCAGTTTGGATGTTCCCAGGGATTCAGGTTCCGAGTACGCGGTGTCGTGAGGCTTTGACACGCTAGCCCGGTTAGAAGTAGAGCTGAGTCAAATTCGTGATACAGAGTAAGAAGGTATCCTAGGATGGAAGGGTATCGTAGCGTGAACAACTATCGCAAGGTAAGACGAAACTGCAGAGTAGATTACTTTAGGTTCTATCTCTTCTTCTAAGTCTTGAATATCCTGATAGCCGAAAATGGTGAGTGGTCAGCATGCGCACTCAGATCATGAAGAAGAAATAGGAAAACCTGTGAAGATTCCAGAGCTGGAAACCACGATTCAAGCACAACACCACAAGATTCAAGGACTCAACACTGCAGTGACACGCCTACGGACGTCATAAAATGTGCACTCAACACACAAGGTTTGGTATCTAAGGCGTACATAGACTAATCGCTCCAACTCCGAGACCTTACTAGATCCGGATATCTTAAGAAGTGCATGAAACATGAAGGAGAAGCTGGTTGAATGGCTCAGAGCAATCGAATACCGCAGAATCTACGTGTGGGGTATGGAACAGAAGTAGAAGATGAACCACATGTGTTTCAATTTAGAACACCGCGACGAGCAACGTCTGACTTCAAACGACACAGGCCATTTGAAAGAGTATTTAGCAAAAGTCATGCCTTGAGAGGGTAAAAGCCAAGAATGAAATCGAAGATATCCTACAGTCGCCAGAAAATAGTGCCAATCTCCACGAACTTTTCCTAAGAACCGCCATTTTACTTGCAAGCGCGCAATTATAGAAGTTGTCCAATTCAGGCGCGGTGCCAGAAAAAAGTGACAGTTTCCACAACTTTTCCCCAAATTTCGTTATTTTGCCTGCAAAGGAATTAGTTTTCCCTACATACGTTATCCATTCTATTGACGATCCTAACAGGCAGAGTTGATTTGGTTTGATTGATACCCAAAATCTCTCTATGCATGACTTTTGCTACATTTTGTTACTTTCTGTCTTATGATAGCTACTTGCTGAAGACCCGTTGAGTCCTTTAGTCCTTGACCTTGTGTACTGCCCAAACCGACCAGCTAGTCTCGGACCAGGAGGGCAAATGTGTAATCTTATTACCCTTCAATCCCGAGCAGGGTGCAATATTCCTCATGCAATGCCTGGAGGTGGTTACGGATCCTCATTCAGGTATGCAGCTGACAGCGGTCAAAGCGACTTTGAAGCTTCTAGGCGGAATTCCATTGTTGCTGGCGGTTGTCGCCAATTTCCTGTCTGACTCATTGTGGTCCCCCAGTGTCTTTGTTGAGCAGTACGATAGATCTCCCTACCGGTGGTCTGGCGCCATTAAGACAATCCGCCTTAACGGTCTGCTCTGGTATGGAACTCTGAAAAACGTTTCCGACAGTTTTAAATACGCGCTTCAGGACTTGTCAGCAAAGGTTCGCGAGGTTATCAGGATCCTCGCGTTGTTCGATAGCATAGAACTCGCAAACTCGCTGATATCTTCCAAGCACAAGGATGGTACCCCAGACTTTCTGAGGCCCAGGCGATTTCCCCGCTTTATTCATCCCTAGCTTGCAACAACCAGAGGCTGAATCTGCTAGTGAGCCATCGATACGCATCCTATCCCGCGAGCTTCAAAAGCACAACCTTGTACAGAGAGCGATGTCTTCTGGTGGACGCAGTCCAATCGTGACAGTCAACACAGCGGTACAGCAAATGATACGGAGAAGACTATGGCAAGATTCAAACAGGGGAAGTCTAATGAGACGGCATATAGACAGGCGTACAAAATTATGCGTTGTGCAACGCCAAAGGCGTTCATATATCGGGAGCCGGTGCGAGATTTGGACCAAAGATCACATATTCTAGATTAGACAAACATATCCAGCACCTCGGAGCGATAGCTGCCAAATAAGACTCTGGCCCTGACCATCAGCTTTGCTTCCCTTATCTACGATGGTGGTCTCTATTCTGATTTGGCGCCGGCAGATCAACCTAGAAGAAGGAATTCTATTGTTCAGCCAAGCACTCAAAACCCTTCCCAATCCCAGAGATGCTCAAGACAACTTACTTCGGTCCCATGTTTACCTTACAACAGGACGAACGTTCCATAGCATGGGCCATATCTCCAGGCCAAGTCCGCAAAATATTTGGATTCTGCGTGGGTTCTCCGTTGAGAAGCATATGAGTACTTGAGGTCTTACAGTCGCAAGCCTTCTCACAAGACATTTCCGTTCTGTGCCAGAATCAACGTAGTAGCGGCGTAATTACACGGAGGTGACTTGAAGACAGCCCAGAGCCTCCTCGAGAAATGTCTCTAGGACTATAGCAGTTGGAGCGATGAACAAGAAATGCCCTTCGATGGTGCGAAAGTATATTATGGCCAGGCTAACTGCCATCTGGCGCGCGGCGACGCAGACTCCACTATACAGTTCGCACAGAAGGGAAGAGCAGCCATAGAGCGGCGCCTATCAAGTGACATAGCTTATTGCCATTCATTTCCCCATGGCTGCTTTCTGCTGCAGCTGGGCAAACGAGATGAGACCCTGACGCTCCATGAGCATATATCAAAAGGACGTAGGAAGTATTATGGAGGGCAAGGCTTACCGGCCTCGCAAAGCCATCGAGCCATTGCAGTATTGAACGACGGCGGTTGAGCTGGTTGAATCACGAGTCATGGTATCGACGCCGCCATGTTCTTCATGGACCGGTGCATATTTGGAAACCTTGCTTTCTAAATCCATGCTCAGGACTTGAATCAAAAATAGGTGCTACACCAAGGGAATTTGGCTCAATCAGAGCCCCTTGAAGATGGTACCTCTGACAAGATTTGAGGTCATGATGTCTCATGTACAATATTGTTGGGCGTGATTAAATCAACTTCATTTTCATGAGACCGATCATCACCATTGTTGTCACAATCTACTCGTGCAGGAGGTTAGCCAAAGTTGGAGAGTGTCGCAGGTAAGAGACTCTACTTGTAGGGTCTAAGGTACAGGTAAGGTACATTAAGGTACTTTAAGTTTCCGTGCTAAGCGCAGCTAGCTCACTCGCTAAAGCGGCCACGCCCGTGCGACCGACTCCCGGGTGCCAAGCACTCGCGTGAAGAGTGAAGACGCGTTTTTTCTCGTCACGTTCGCCATGATCCAGAAACTTGACCCCTTTCTTTCTCTCAGCGTTCTGCTCGAAAAACTTCAACAAACATCTCTGTAGCTTGAGCTGTAACTTGGGAACATGGCGCCCTCGTCCAAATCTTCGAACAGCGCTCGTGGGACCCCTACACCCTCGCTGACCAAATCGAACTCGAGCTCCAAGAACCAGACGTCCATTGCAGGTTTCTTCAAGAAGCATTGCGAAGAGCCGAATGCCAATGGAACGCCAAAGATAAATGGCACCTCATTACCGATCAACAGCTTCGCGCGAAAGACTGCAGTCACGGTATCCTCGGGAGGGTCGACCCAGAGCATGACACCTGCTCCAAGCAGCGATCCTGTCGAAGATATCAAAGAAGAGGAAGACGCAAGCGCAATCAATCCCAACGGGCAAAGCGCCTCCAATACTTTGCCCTCGCCAATCACTCCTGCAAGTGCTCTGAACGAAATTGATGGAAACGGGGTCCCTGCTGGCTTCTACAGCCCTTCACGGAAGGTCTGCCTGCCTTTCCCGACGATCTTTTTCCCAGCTGATAGTTGTTTTATAGGCAAAGAAAGCTGTGAATTACGCCGTCGACCCTGATTCTGACGAAGACGAGGACGAGGACGACGAGGACGCGTTCAAGCCTACGCGGAAAGGAAGGGCCTCAAAGCGGAGAAAGACAAGCGTCGAGAGTGACGACGATGTCTTCGTGGGAGATGGTGCGGCAGAGGATGATGTGGTCGAAGAGGGTAAACCTGCCCCAGCCCATTGAAGGGTTGGATCATGATGCTGAAAATGTTGTGGTACAGATGACTTCGTGGTAGATGACGAATCCGACGAGGCCATGCCTACAAAAAAGAAGCGAAAGAGGTCTTCTCCCGCTCAGTCTACATCTCGGCGCGATGCTGCTTTAGAGTCCATCGGGGTGGATGGCGACGAAGAAATGCCTGCGGTTTCTACTGCTCAGCAGTGGTCTTTTGATCCCAAAGCCGTCCAGCCATCACAGCTCAGGAATGCTCTAATGCGGAAGGCCACACCAAAGAAACCTGAGCCCAATGCCAACAAGGGAAAAGCCAAGCCAAGCAAAGTCGAACGGCGATACGAATGGCTAGAGCCAGCTAATATCACCGACATCGATAAAAACCGTCCAGATCATCCAGATTACGACCCAAGGACAGTGTACGTACCGAAGTCGGCATGGATGGATTTCACCCCTTTTGAACACCAGTACTGGGAGATCAAGCAAAAACATTGGGACACAATAGTCTTCTTCAAGAAGGGCAAGTTCTACGAGCTCTACGAAAATGATGCCACCATTGGGCATCAACTCTTCGACTTGAAGCTTACTGATCGTGTCAACATGCGCATGGTCGGCGTACCCGAAGCTTCTCTAGACATTTGGGCCAATCAGTTCGTGGTTAAAGGATATAAAATTGCGCGTGTGGACCAGGTCGAATCTGCTTTGGGCAAAGAGATGCGAGAGCGAGACAGCGGACAGTGTGGTAAGGCCACGAAGGTAGACGAGAAGATGAAAAAGATCATCAACCGAGAGCTTGCATGCGTGCTTACAAGCGGCACTCTTGTTGACCCGGGCATGCTTCAAGACGACATGTCCACGTACTGCGTGGCCATAAAGGAGTCGGAGCAAGAGGGACGGCCTGCTTTCGGCATCGCGTTCGTGGATACCGCTACCGCTCAATTCTTCTTGACTGGTTTCGAGGATGATGTCGAGATGACGAAGTTTGAAACGCTCATCGCGCAGATAAGGCCTCGTGAAGTCTTGCTTGAGAAGTCTTGTTCATCCACGAAAGCATTGAGGATCTTAAAAAACAGCACTGGGCCAAACACGTCAATAGTATCCTTGAAGGCTGGTAAAGAGTTCTGGACAGCGGACACCGCATGCAGAGAGATGGATGCTGCTCGATACTTCGTGAATGATGATGGAGACAACATCGAAGCTTGGCCAGAACCTTTGCGGCAGGCCCGAGAGGAACATGAGTCTGTGATGTCTGCGTTCGGTGCATTGGTTCAATATCTACGGACTCTGCAGATTGAGCGTGATCTTGTGACCCTGGGCAACGTATCTTGGTATGATCCCATCAGAAGTGCGGGCACCCTTATCCTGGACGGAAAGACCTTGATCAATCTCGAGATTTTCGCGAATTCGTTTGACGGCAGTTCGGAGGGCACCTTGTTCAGTCTCTTGAATCGATGCATCACTCCATTTGGAAAGCGAACGTTCAAACAATGGGTATGCCACCCTCTCATGGACGCTGTAAAGATCAATGCACGCCTCGATGCTGTTGAGTCTCTCAATGCAGATACTACTCTTCGAGATCAATTTACTTCCCAGCTCTCGAAACTGCCTGATCTTGAACGAACAATATCTCGCATTCACGCCGGTGTATGCAAGGCTCAAGACTTTGTGCGAGTCCTCGATGGTTTCGAGCAGATCGACTACACAATAGGCGTCTTGCGCAATATGGGCTCGCGCGACGGGATCATCGGTCAATTGGTTACGAGCATGCCAGACATGAGAGAACTCTCCAAGTATTGGAACAATGCCTTTGACCACGATAAAGCAAAAGAAGCAGGCCTACTTATTCCCGAGCGCGGCGTCGAGGAGGACTTCGACGCGAGCCAAGACCGCATTCAGAGCTTGCTGGCCGATTTGGAGACTCTACTGAAGAAGACAAGGAAAGAACTGAGATCCAACGATATCGTCTACGCGGACAACGGAAAAGAAATATACCAGCTCGAGGTCCCTGTAAAAGTCAAAGGGATACCGAAAAATTGGGATCAAATGTCCGCAACCCAAAAGGTCAAGCGCTACTACAATCCTGAGCTCCGAGGTCTCGTACGCAAACTTCAAGAAGCACAAGAAACCCATGGCCAAATCGTCAAAGAGGTATCTGGCCGCTTCTTCAAGAAGTTCGATGAAGACTATGTGACGTGGCTGGCGGCAGTACGAATTGTGGCACAATTGGACTGTTTGATATGTCTGGCTAAAGCATCTTCAGCATTGGGTGAGCCAAGCTGTCGACCTGAGTTTGTCCATGATGAAAGGAGCGTGGTCGATTTTGAAGACCTTCGCCATCCGTGCATGCTTCCCAACGTCCCAGACTTCATCCCCAATGATGTCAAGCTCGGTGGTGGAATGCCCAACCTCAACCTGCTGACAGGTGCCAATGCAGCTGGTAAATCCACCGTGCTCAGAATGACCTGCGTTGCCGTTATCATGGCCCAAATCGGCTGCTATGTCCCCGCCATATCTGCTCGCCTTACTCCCGTCGATAGAATCATGTCCCGCCTTGGCGCTCAGGACAATATTTTCGCCGCCCAATCTACCTTCTTCGTTGAGCTTGCAGAAACCAAGAAGATTCTTTCCGAAGCCACACCTCGCTCTCTCGTCATCCTCGACGAACTTGGCCGCGGCACTTCATCCTACGACGGTGTGGCAGTGGCCCAAGCGGTTCTGCACCATGTCGCCTCCCATATTGGCTGTGTTGGCTTCTTCGCTACCCACTACCATTCTTTAGCCGCTGAATTCGCCACTCACCCCGAAGTTCGCAATTGCCGCATGCGTATACACGTTGACGACGAGAACCGTCGTGTCACCTTCCTTTACAAGCTGGAAGACGGAGTCGCGGAGGGCAGCTTCGGCATGCATTGTGCGAGTATGTGCGGGATTCCCGAAAAGGTGGTCGAGGAGGCGGAGGTAGCGGCCAAGAAGTGGGAGCATACCGCTAAGATCAAGGAGAGTCTGGACGTGGCGAGACAGGGGTGCTGGATCCCGTTGGGGATGCAGAGCGATGTCGCTTGGATGCTCAGGGAAGAGCTGGAAGAGGCTGTCGGGGCGAGAGGAGTGGATGTGTTGAGAAGGGCTATTGAAGGGCTGTAGGACTCCCAGTCCAGAGGGATGACTGCGTCGATGGGGGTCTCATACTTGGCCGGTGTGGCAGGGCTGGCTTGGGCTTTGAATCAACGTTATGGACAGTCTAGACGGTTCGCTTCCTTTTGGCGCATTTCTCACTCGGCGTCGTCGGCTTAAAAGCATGCGTTCATTCGGCTTCACACAATATCCCATCAGCAGATAGCGTTCCTGTCATAGCAAGCATGTAATAGTAGCGAGATGCTTTGAAGCTTAAATGTCTGGCATTGATGTAGCTAAAGCCTTAGATGGGCTATCAATGATGATCAATGATTCATGTAGCCAACTTCCAGTCCTTGCCTGACCTGACGACCTTTCATCTCGAGATCCAAACGATCACCACTTCCAATGCAAATCTGATCCCCTTTCCACCTGAAACGTATGGCCAAGGACGAGTATCCACCCACGAGCGCTGAGAGAAAGGGAAATTGATGCCCAGATCCACCAAGAGCGTATCCATTGAGTCGATCTTTGAGAGGAAGGCGAGATCGAGGTAGCTGGTTGCCGGATACTTTGGTGGGGATTGGGACACTGTATTGCGCTGTTAGTAGTGTGTACAGATATGATAGTAAATGCGGCGGAAGCCACGCTGAAAACAGATTTATAAAGAGAGAGAGAGGACATAGTTGGATAAAACAAGGACGCAAGGGTATCTTCACCTCAAGCAGCCTGGCCCTCAGTGGTGTAGATGTTGAACAGCTCATCTTCGGCCATCTTCTGCTCCTCCGCATCAAAGCAACGGTCGTCACCCTCCTGCTCCTCCTTCTTGACGTTGGCGTCGCCGCCGAAGATGGAGCCCTCCCCGTTGGTCTGAGCGACGGTTTCAACCCCGTGAAACTGGGCGTTGGCAGCGTCATTGTTGTCGTCGGCGGCGGCCCCATCGGCACCGGTAGTGACTTTTGCGTTGGCATCTTTCTTGGCTCGCTTAGTGGGAGTGGCGTTGGGATCTTTGGGCTTGCTTGGGCCGCGCTTGCGCTTGGGGGTGGGGGTGGGGGTGGTGATTCCGGTGGCAGCGGTGTCGTTGGTAGCATCCTCATTGGTGGTGGCCTTGGTGGGAGTGTCACCGTTGGCGTCAGTCTTGGAAGGGCCAGTACGCTTCTTTGCACGACCTTTCTTGGGAGACTCGGCGCTGGGAGTCACTTCAGTATCGGCGTCACCTCCTTCAGCATCGGCAAGTTCGGTCTTGATGGCCTTGCCGCGCTTCTTAGGAGCAGCTTTGCTAGGGGTAGCTTCATCGTCATCGTCGGCGTCTCCGTTGGCAGCAGCTTTGCCCTTGGCTTTCTTCGGAGTGGGAGCGGCGGCGGCATTGCTGACGCTTGCGCCAGCCATGAGCTTCTTCTTAAGGGTAAGGAAGCAGGCATTGGCTGATGCGGCGGTTTTGTACCCGGCGAGCTGGGCCATCTTGGCGTAGTCGATCTGCGTTGAGTGTCAACGGAAAGGCTGCTTCCAAACGAATTTGATGACAGAAGTGAGGTGCAGTAGGAAAGCTTGAAATTTGAAGCCGTAGAATGTGCAGAACGGATGACGTGGAAACAGTCAAGGCCAGGAAAATGTTTTGATGTTAGGAAACGCTATCCGAGCTCACCTGCAGTGCACTGTCATCCTTCAATGACTGGAAGGCGATTGCGAGCAAGTTCACATCGCGAGCAGTGAGCTGAGGGGTTGAAGACATGTTGTCTTAGGTTGATTTTTGGTACGGATGTCGGATGTAAGAGGAAGATGGAGCGAAGTGGATCGAAAGATGGTTACGATGTTGAGTGGAAGATAATGTTGAGTTGGACGAGAGTGTGATGAAGGATGTGAGTCTCGTAGATCTTGGGAAACACTAGCGTGCTTTTTAGGTGAATTGAGCCTCAGTTGGCGAAAGTGAACGGAAGATGCCCTCAGAAGTTCGACATTTGTGGTTTCACTTGCAAGCTGCCAGATGAATTTACCACAGCAAGAAGTACCCTCAGCGCCTCGTTAGAATATTACCCTCTTGGCTGATCCTGAATACCGGCTCTGTCTCCGGTAAATGAATTAGAGGCTTCTTTTGAATCTTTGATGTAAATGAACACGGGAAAATGAACACCCAAGACTCGACTTTCTTTGGGCATACACCGGATGTGCTGACTATTTTCGGTTATGCGCTTCTTCATTGGACTTTTCTCGAGTATTCCGTATCTGTCCTAGAGCTTTTTGCCACACCGCAGTCTCAACCGTCTTCCTTCGTTCACTGCCAACGAAGAACAGGTTCCGCTCCTTGGGCGCCCACCATGGCCTCTTCTTGATTGAAGAGAAATGTGGTACTCGAATCAAATTCTCAATGCCAAAACGAGCTTTGGTAGGACGCAACTCTGAAATTTGCATCCTGGAAATGCGGAGACTTCCATACGACTTGATGGTGGTCAAGTCAACTTCCGTTTTTGACGGTATATTCCGTGCCCAATTCAAGAGATGCTCTGTTGACCGCCGGGCGAATATTGGTAGCTTGATGTGGACAAAAGCCACAAATGGAGCAGCATAATATGTCACATAGAGCAAAGGAACGGCTCCAGCAGCAGCAACTAAGAGCCCGCATTAGGCTTCCATCAGGCCCTGAAAGGATTGTACTGACCTGCAGGTGCAACCCAAGCGGGCTGTTTCGGGTCGTGATAGAATGTAGGTGCAACAAGCAGAACACTTGCGGTGAAGAGGAAAATTGTGGTAATTTTGAGAAACCCCACGAATACAATGCGAGGAGTCCCAGCATGATAGATCAAGAGCCGCTCTGGAATATCTATAGAATCCAGTCAATCATCTTCATCTGGATAGAATTACTCCGTATCTTACCTGCTTTCGAGGGAGTTTGATACGTGGATGCGAACGATCTACAGCGTCTTGATAGAGAACGCGGCAAAGGACGGTACCAAATATCTTGCTTTCCGCGGAGATGGCACCGCGAAGAGCGCAACAAGGCCCTGAGGAATGGAGCCATCGCCGCATGTGCGTACTTCAATAAGTATGTTTACGGAGATGCACTGCAATCTGAAGACCATTTCGAGCGCGTTAGAGCGCTAACAGCGGCTCTTTAGGCGAGACAGGGATCGACAGGGAGGGTCCTCGGGAGACAATGCATTGCAGCATTAGCACCTCGAGGAGCCTTGATACGAGACACTGTCTGGCTTACTTTTAGTGCACAGCAAGGCGGGAAGAGAGTCATCTGATCTCTTTCCACATCCTCTCGTTCCTAATACCATGGTTTGCCGGATGGAAGTGTTCTCGGCTTGGTGAAATGAGGCCACCCTTTAAGTCTCATACAACACGATGAAGGCTAGACTGTCGTTCCTTCTCTACGCACTAAGGACACTCATACTCATCAGCCTTTCGGCAGCATACACTCCACTGCCTGATGAAGCTCTGAAGGGGATCCCTCGCCCTGGCGACGATTTCAACATCAGAAATGGCAAGCTGCTTTCCCAAATCCTCCAACCTAGAGTACCTGGCGGCCCAGGCTCTGCCGCCGTGCTCAACCATTTTGCAGAATTTTTTGGAAGCGAACTTCCAGAATGGACTATCACATACCAGAACTCCTCCTCCACGATCGCTGTGCTGGGAAACAAAGAGATGCCATTTGTCAACATGATTGCGACCAGAGATCCTCCCTGGTCGAACCCCGGAGAAGTTGGCTATCTGACACTGGTCGCTCACTACGACAGCTTAATGAAACCCGAAGGCTTCATTGGCGCCATTGATAGCGCTGCTCCCTGTGCCATGCTCATGCACACAGCTAAGAGTCTGGAGGATGCCCTCACGAAGAAATGGGCTGGGATGGTAGAAGCTGGAGACCATGATTTCGAGGACCACAAAGGCCTGCAAATAATACTGCTGGATGGCGAGGAGGCTTTCGATACCTGGTCTGACACCGACTCGATCTATGGAGCAAAATCACTGGCTGCGGAAATGGAATCAACTTATCATCCGGCACTTTCGACCTACCACAACGCACTATCGACCATCCACCTGTTTGTGTTACTCGATCTGCTGGGTTCGAGGAATCCCAAAGTCCCAAGTTACTTCAAGGTCACGCACTGGGCATATAAGAAGATGGCGGATCTGGAAAAGCGCCTTCGCAACCACTCCCTCTTCGAGTCATCCGGGTCCTCATGGTTCTACGATGTAGATAAAAGCAATGATCGATGGATGGGTGGAATGATTGGAGATGACCATGTACCCTTCATGGCCAGAGGGGTGGACGTGTTGCATCTGATACCATCACCGTTCCCTCCAGTATGGCACAAAATGAGCGACGATGGCGAGCATCTGGATATGGATACCACGGAGGATTGGGCTGTGCTGGTGACAGCTTTCGCTGCGGAATGGATGGATTTAGGGAATTACATGGGCGTAAAGTCGGACCATAAGAGAGCGTCGCGCGATGATCAGGTGGAAAGAATCATCAGCAAAACAGAATTGTGAGTGCGTTACAACCGCCTCTCATATCGTATCGTCAAGCTCATTCTGTTACGAAGAACCTGAAGCCCATACGAAGCATTATGCGGTCCTACTATCTACGCCACAAGTAGCCGGGTTGTCCACCAGCAATCTTGCCAAACCGGCTACAATCACACATGGCCGAGGCTGTCGTAGAGTCCAATACGCCGGAGTCGACGAAGGGAAGATGCTATTGCTGTGGCGTAGGAAGCATCTCCATTGGGGTAGAGTACATACAATTGGCCGCGGGATTGGTCGGTACCAAAGCTGAAACGAAAATAAAGACCATTGGACTCTCTGGTTCGATGGGGCGCATGGAGAACGACTTGACCCATACGGACCTGCATCTCGTCCCTCGAGTTTGGCAATCATAGCTGGTAGCTGCTCATACGCGGGCAGAAGCGGAGTATCCACGGAACGAGATATTCCAGTCGAAGCAGAAATCACACGCAAGCGCATTGCCTTGAAATCGGCTTTATACTATGTCTCAGTGAGCCTGCGATCAGCGCTGTGGCACTTGAGAAGACGGACACAGGATGACCGATCTAGAGCTGGCCTGGCAAGTACAGTGCAACGCAATATGAATATAATATGAATTGAGCGAGTATTCTACTTGAGCCAATCATCATCGCGGGAAGAGCGTTGACATAGGGTTATCTCACTGTCCAATATACCAGGAGCTGATTCAGCGTCCGGAGCTCTATCTGTATACCATACTTTGTAAAGATTCTACGAGGCCGCCTCGACCTCGTTCTACACAACTACATTGACTACATTGAAATACCCTATGGGCCCCGTTCAGGTCTCGCACCCTCCTCCGCCTTGTATACTGAGTGTCCACAGCCGATCTAAATAACTGCTCGCCCAACGCTTTATCTGTTTCTGGCCCAAAAAAAATGTGATGTTTCCGACTTGAGAAGGCCACCAAGACGCGCCTTTTTTTTCCCATGACCCCTTGATAGAGGATTACTATCAAACATCGGGACCAATAATCACAGGGTTGACCATGCTGCTTCAACTTTACACGATTGCGCCTTTATGGCATGCAGGTGGCAGGGCAATGTGGACAGCCGGCATCCTCCTTCTCCTACATGGTTATCCTCTCAGAAAATTGCTGATTGGACCCTATCTTCATGTCTTACAAACTCGCCCTGCGCTATCAAGTTAACCCTTATAGGTGAGACTCTTCAAAATATCATTTATAAAAGTCGTTCACCAGGTTTTAACAATTTTCGAATTTACCGCCGTTCGTATTATATTAAAAAGATTATTATCGAGACCTTTCTACTTAACTTTATACTTAAGATAATTATTAATTAACTTAAATATAAATATTTCTTTAATAACTTATTCGATTCAATCGTTAATAGTCACGTACTTCGGCGATAAATTTATCTATTCTAATAAGAGGTTATTTATCGCGAGACTTAAGAGATTAAAGTAAAAGACGTTATAGATTCTTATAATTAGCGAAAATTTTAGATAATATAAGATTCTTATAAAGCCTATAATCTTAAATAGATTAAGTCTCTTATAATTTAATTTACAAAAGAGCGATTAAAGATAATATTCTTACTACTTAAAAGATCTTATCGCCTATCTAAAAGATAACCTTTATTAATACTTATTAGCTTATATAACTATAGCCTTCTAAGCATAATCTATATTACTTTAATATACTTAAGAATCTATTTCATATAATTCGTAATATTCTCTATTTAAGCAATATTAAGACGCTTATAAATAATCTTATAATTAATAATATTCGAGCTAAAACTTATTCGAGAGAAAACTCTTATTCGCGAGGAAAGATGAAATATTAGTAGTCGCTAAGATAGTATTATTATCGGCGAACTCGATAATAGATAATTATCTTATCTAGTCGTCCTATATATAATTATAGTATATTTAAAATAACGCTTTATATTCTAATTTGCTCGCTTAATCTATTTATCGATTTTAGAGTAAAAAGCTATTAATAGCTTAACTATAATATCTAATCGCTTATAAAAGAATTTCCATATAATAGCTATAAATTAAGGCCTCGATTCGATATTATTAAGGTCGATAGATCGTATAAATGAAATACTTCTTTAAGTAGTAAGTTAATTATCTTCTTAGTAATAGTATCTTCGTTAATATTAAAATAAGCTATATAGTAATATTTCTTAATAAATTAATTAATTACTATCTAAATAGCGTTATAGTTATCGAATATAAATAAGCCTATAACGAAGTTAATCGATATATCTTATTATCGTTTTTATAAGATTAATAGAGACTAAAATAAACTATATTTTCGATCTCGAGGTATCTTAGCCCTCTAATAGATATAGTAATTCTAAACGTAGGTAACTATTATCGCCCTTATTTCTCGTTAATAATACTTTCTTTTAAATAGTTTATAGATACGTACTACCCCGAGATAGTCGTAGAATAATTAATTATATATCTCTCGAATAACATCGATATATATATTATCGAATATTTACAAACGATCCTTATAGTAAAGTATTTCGTTTTATACGAAGTACTTATTAAGAGTAATCCCTTAAAACTTATCCTTACCTCGACGATAGCGTTACAAATTTCTATATAATAGTTGTTCTTCTTATTAGCGCCTACTATCTTATAATAAATAAAGTTATTAATTATATATACGTTAATACTTTCATTATCTAATTTTAATTAATTAGAGATAAAGATTATTTAATACTATTAGCGTAATCATTCGTTTTCGAAATTAATTAATTTATATCTAATTATTTATATAAGTATATTTATCTTAACGTTCTAAGGCCTAGATTAATAAATAATCTTTATATTAAATTCAAATAGTATATTCAAATAGCGAGTCTAGCGACGACTAAGGTCTCTTTCTTCGACGAAGTATATTAAATCTTTATAATCCGTGAAAATCTTAATAGAGATATTAATACATTTTAATTTAGAACGCTAGTATTTAAAATAGCGAATAATAATTAGTAACGTCTTATCGTAGATCTAATAGTTACACTCTATTAGAGTAAGATTTTTACTATAAAAAACTATCAAATAAAATACTTTCTTATCGTTATATTAAGAAAGAAACTTTCGTTAACGTAGTCGAAAGAGTTAATCTTTAAAATAACATTTTTTATTCTATCGAAATAACGTAGAATTAAAGCTTTAGTAATAGCGACTTTAAGGAAATAAAAAACCTCTTAATATACTAAAAACTAATTAAATATAGCCTCTTTTACCGTGAGTTTTACTATAAATTTAATTATTTTAGAGAAATCTCTAATGAATCGCCGATAAAAATTATAAAATTCGATAAAGGCCTATACCTCTTTAAGGTTAGTAGATATAGTTTACTTAATAATAGTCTAGATTTTAATAGAGTTTATTTATAACTCGTCTATAGATATTAGTAGACTTAGAAATTTAATTTTCTAGACGTGGAATTCGCATTTAAGGATATTTATCTAAAGGCCGATATCTCTTAATTTCTAAAGGATTTATTTGACGTATTAAACGTATTCCTTTTTTATCTTATTATAAATGAGTATGTTATCGAGATAGATCTAGTAGAAGTCATTTAGATACTTAAATAGAATATTATTTATATACTATTAATATATAGCCGAGCCGTTAGTTAGATCGAAGGAGAGAACTCGATATTTATATACTCTAAGAGAGGTAATAAAAGTAGTAAAATCCTCGCTATCGGGGTATATACGTAGTTTATTAAACGCGGCTATAATATCTAATCGGGTGAGATATTTATATCCTTGAATCCTTACTAAAACCTTATCTATTAATGGAATTGAGTATTGGTTTCTTTTGGTAATAGCGTTTAGCTTCCGATAGTCCATATAAAAACGCAACTCTTTATTCGGCTTTTCCGCGAATAGGACAGGTAAGGCGAATGGTGTATGGCTTGGTGTTATGAATCCCTTCTTTAGATGTTCGTCTAGGTACTTCTTTACCTATTTCAGTTTGTGTCCTAACATTGAATAGATCCTGCTTTTCGGAAGTTTCGTTTTCCTTTACAATTAAGAATAAGGTCGGAGCTTAGTTCTTAACGAAAATCGAGGTAGTCGTAATACTCCGTAGGTAGCCTATGTTTCACCTTCTTAGGACTAACCTCGTCGGTGCTATTGATCTAAATAAGGCAATTGGAACCGCAATACCTTTTTATATTTCTTTCCTGAGTTGTAGGGATAGGGTTTATTAATTAATATGCGGGGACCGCGAGGTATCCGGGTAATAGGAAATATATGTGATGTTGGCGTGTTTTTATAGATCTTATTCAATGTCAATATAAATAGTTTATTATCTTTTTACGGGCCAGTTGATAGTAGGCCGCTATATCAATCTCAGCGATATTAATGAACTTAGGCTCCTTACTATTCTCATTCTTATTTGATAAGAAGATATTCGAATTAGTCTCGTTATCGTAAGTAAATAGAGAAGAGCTTTATTATTTTAATATAATAGATGAAAGAGTAAATAATGTGAGTAGTCGAAGTTCCGAAGTTAGTAAGGAAGGGAGTTCGTTTATTATTAATATCTAATTATTATTATAATTATATCGATCGAGTAGAAAGAGTATCTTATCTCGTAATATATTAAGAACTACCTCGTATTTATTTATCTATGGTTTTTTAACTATTATATCGTATTTTAATAATATAATTAATATTAAATATATTTCTTCTTAATAATCTTCTACTATTATCGTTAGGAGTAAATAATATATAATTAATCGTTTTACGATCTAGTCGTTATAACCTTTTAATAATTTAGATTATAATAGTAAGAGTAGTTTTAGATATAAAATCTTATATATCGCTAAGATTAAGAACTTATTTATAACTATATAAGTATTAATATATTTATTATTTATAAGGGAGTCCTTAAGTAAGTAGATTCTCTCTTATAAGAATAGCGTAACTTATATACGAAAAGGACGACGTGCTAAAGCGTTATTAAAGATATCTATTAGATATACTTTATAAATACCTCTTACCGTAACTTTAAAAGAAGCTATTCGTTTTCTAAATTCGATAAAGTATCGTCGCTATCTGTAATATTAACGTTATTAATTTCGAATTCTTTATCTATTTCTATCGCGTAAAGTTATACTTCCTCGAAGGTCTTTTTATTAACCTCGATCTAAGTAATTATTATATAGATACTTCAATAGTAGCCTTTCTTATCGTAATTATAGTATATTAATTCTCTTAGTTTTAAATTAATCTTAATATTTAGAGGCGTAGCGATCGTAGCCTTAGTAATAGATATAAGGCGTATATTAGTCGTAGTTTATATTATAATTAACTTAATAGTAGCCTTTATAAACTCTATATCTTTATATCTAGCACGATATAAGTTATTTAATTTTCGAAGGTATTTCTTTATAGCCTTTAAGGTAATAAATCCCCTTACAATCTTCTATAAATCCCTTAGATTTTTCCTTAATTTATTTAAAAGATAATATTTTATTATAACGATTTTATCAAGATTAAGAATAATATTTAATCGAATAAAGTTTAAATAGAAGTCGATAAAGAATTAAATCCCTTATTATAGAATATATATATTATGTAATATATTACTACGTTAATCTAAGTTCTTATAGATATCGACTAACTTATCTATAATCTTAGTAAAAGATTAATATAGATTAGTGAAGTTTCAAAGTTTTTTATATATCGTATATTATATAGTCTTATCGCCAAGTTATAAGACTATGTAGATTATCTTAAAGTTCTTAATAAGGTAATAATCGCTATTAGTCTTAAATTTCTATTCTATTTTAAAGAACTAATTATCTTAAATAGAGTCGCTATCGTCGATAAATAGAGGTGGATTTAATATTTTAACTAATTTCTCTTTTAAACGTTTAAACGTATATTCCTCCTCGATTAATAATAATCGTAAGTCTTTTATTAACTATATCTTAAGGCCATTAACTTTCCGCTATAGAGAAGTTATATTCTTCTAAAAATCTTAGACTAATTAATTTATCTTCTCGATTATTCTATAGATCTAATATAAATCGTTTATAGCCAGATCCTTTTCTATAACGACGATGTAATATCGAGTAATAATCTTTCGAAAATCGTCTCGTTTCTAACGAATTTTATTTAATATAGTTATAAATTCGTCGGGTTAATACTTAGCTTAATATTATAGTTATAAGCTATTAGTAATATCTTAAAGCTATCTATTAAGTTCGCCTCGTTAAAGATATCTAATATTCGTCGAAACTTGATTTACTCTAATAGAGTCTTAATTTAATCTATTCTTTCGATATTAGACTTCGCTATAAGAAAGAAGAAAGAAAGATTTAAAATAAAGTGGAGAGAAGTTTAAATACTTCGAAAGAATAGGTATTAGAGATATTAGATATACTAGAGAATAGTAAAGCCTCTCTAAAACGTATCGAAATTATTTAATATTAAGAATAAAATTTTTTACTATAAAGTCTAAGATAAGGTTATTTCTTTACGAGGGTTTAATACACTTATTTCTTAATCGTTTAAGGCGTTAAGAAGATTATAAGTACTTTAAATAGTAGCCTTTCGAGTACACTTACTCCGCTTAGAGGGTCTCTTATCTCATAGAGAAGTTATATATAAGAAAGCTTATAAATAATATTTAGATAATATTTTATTGGTGTTAGCTATTTCTTTCGATTCGCTAGCTATACGAATAGTCTAATACCTTATTTATCTCTTAACCACTATTTGCCGAGTTCGATTCGCTTTGAAATCGAATTATCTATCTAATAGACTTATCTAGAAATATAATAACTTAACTTAATTTCTTACTAAAGCCTCTATTAGCGCGTTTCTTTAAATTCGTTTATTAATATAAATAAAATAAGTAAGTAGATCCCCTCCTTCATCATGAAGGCATTTCGATTGGCAACCGGAACGACATTCAAATCCAATTATCAAGCCTCTTCCCTACCAAGAATACTCGCCAGAACATACGCCATGGCCCCAAACCAGAGCATACCACCCGTTCGTCCTGCCGCGAACGCTATCCCGAAAGCCTTCTTGTATTTGCTGATGTACCCTGCCAGCTGAACGACCCATCTCTCTTCAAGCAAAATGTAGCCTATGTCAATGGAGAATGGATCAAAGCCAAGTCTGGGAAGACCTTCGAGGTCCTTGGTGAGTCTTCTTCACCGGTGCTCGGGTCAATCACTGATCTGGCCAACCAGACCCATCGACTGGCAAACTGATAGGAACATGCCCTGAATTCGAGAAGTCCGATGCCGATAGTGCCATCGCGCACGCCGCTGCCGCTTTCCCTTCCTTTCGCCAGACGACAGCCCGCCAACGGGCACGCATGCTACACAAATGGTACCAATTGGTGATGGACAACCAGGAAGACTTGGCAAAACTCATAACGTGGGAGAATGGCAAGCCAATGACCGATGCTAAGGGCGAGGTGGCATACGCAGCGAGCTTTTTTGAGTGGTTCAGCGAAGAAGCCCCGAGGGCGGACGGCGACACAATACCAGCCAGTATACCCGGCAACAGGGTCTTCACGATGAAAGAGCCGGTTGGCGTGTGCGGTCTCATAACGCCATGGAACTTTCCAGCAGCTATGATAACCCGAAAGATCGGTCCTGCTTTGGCAGCGGGCTGCACTGTCGTTGCGAAATCACCGGGTGAAACACCCTTCACATCTCTTGCTCTCGCTGAACTGGCAGAGCGCGCCGGCATCCCCAAAGGTGTCATCAATGTTATCAGCGCTATGGAAAATACAGTCGAAATTGGGAACGCCTTGACCTCGAGCCCCACCGTTCGCAAAGTTTCCTTTACCGGCTCTACTAATGTCGGCAAGCTGCTTATGAAGCAGTCCGCCGATACTCTCAAGAAGCTGTCTTTCGAGCTCGGCGGTAATGCTCCCTTTATTGTCTTCGATGACGCAGACCTCGAAATCGCTGTCAATGGCGCTATTGCTTCTAAGTTTCGCAGCTCGGGGCAGACTTGCGTCTGCGCGAACAGGATCTACATACAAAAAGGCATCTACGACAAATTTGCCTCTGCTTTTACTGAGAAGGTCAAAGGCTTCAAGGTTGGCGGTGGTTACGACGAGGGCGTCACCCATGGCCCCTTGATCCACGACCGCGCTGTTAGCAAAGTTGAGGCTCATGTGAGAGACGCTGAGAAGAAGGGCGGTAAGGTTACTGTTGGTGGCCAGAAGATGCCCAAGCTCGGGTCAAACTTTTTCGAGCCGACGGTCATTACGGGTATGAACATGGATATGCAGCTGGCTTCTGAAGAAACTTTTGGGCCTGTGGCTGGTCTATTTCCGTTTGAGACGGAGAAAGAAGTCGTGGATATGGCGAACATGGCCGAAGTTGGCTTGGCAGGATACTTTTTCAGCAACGATTTGCGTAGAGTTTATCGGGTTGCTGAGGCTCTGGAGGTGGGGATGGTGGGTGTCAATACGGGGTTGATCAGCGATCCCGCTGCTCCGTAAGTCTCTCACTTCCTTTGAGAGAGAGAATGTCAGCTAATAGTGCGCAGCTTTGGTGGTGTGAAGCTGAGCGGGTTCGGACGGGAAGGCAGCAAGTACGGTATCTCCGAGTACCAGATCACCAAGATGGTGACGCTGGGTGGTATGGGACAGCCACTGCAAGGATCTTGAGGATGTCGTCCCGGTCGTACGATAAGAGGGAAATACTTTGTACATATTTAGAGGGTAGTAAAAGCAATATGTACATATTGGTCAAGCAACTCATGAGCCTAACCAGACATATTTCTAGTCAGGATATCACGGCCATGCGCTTCTCGCACCTCTTCAAAATAACGAGAGATGACTTTGCCTTGATGTTCAGGCGTGCTACAAGAGGGATTCGTCAATTGGAGGATAAGTCCCTAAACGTTGACAAAGATGCTCTTTCGATAGGGCTGAGCGCGCCAAGCGCTTCACTCGGGCGAAATGGATTAAAGCCGAGGCCCAGCGAGAATGCACTATCTCATTCCCTTCATTGACCCGTACTACTTTCACTCTCTCTATCGGCTATGATCAGGACGCACCGAAAGCTATGAGTTCTCCAATAGTTCTCTCTGCGACGCTTCTAAGATGCCATGTCCGGCGAATCTAGCGGCTCGTCCGCTCCCTCCGCCTTAGGGGTATCACCAAATGCGAGTGGAATCCATAGCACCAATAGCTTGAGACATGATCAAGCAACAACAGAATCCGAAAGCAAGGCTACTCTAACCGCGAATCTGGCCCAAAATGAGCCCCTACAACGGAGGCATAGACCGAGGAGCTCGGGAGGGTTCCTGCTACAGACAACCCCTGCTCCTGCTTCGGAAACAAGACTCTCCTCGTATACGGAACCAGATACTACTAGAGATGTGAAAGGGAAGCGGAAGGCTGAGGAAGGGGACTTAGTCGTGCCTAAGCGTGCAAGCGCTCATCAGAGACACCGCCAGAAACCTTCTTTGGGAAGCTCACCGCTAGCTACCGAGGTCATCAACGTCCATTCATCGGATCATACAGATAAAAATGGAGCTTTCCAGAGAGACAAGCAATTTTCAGTACAATCGGCTGCTAGGCAAAGCATGCGCTCAAGTCTCAATAGCAATGGTACATCTGCCGGGTCTGCCACTAGCACGGATCCAGTATTGCTATCAAATGGGAGAAGCGCCATTGGCCATGATACAGACCCTGCCCAGATCGTCACCCTGGCGTTGAACCTCAGCGAAAGTCGTCGCAGGAACTTCAGCAGTGGTGGCCTACTCATACCTCGAGATGCAATTGGAGCCCGGCGTATCATATCTTCGGGACAGCAAACGCTCGGGCTACCTAACAGCGCAAGCGGAGGAAGTCTACGCCAACATTTGCAACAGCAGAGACAGGTGTCAAGGAATATATCGCCAAAATCAGGCAGATCTTCCAGCAACAAAGGGTCTGGATCCGGTTCACCACACTCGCAGAAAGAACAGGTTGGGAACAGGCACTCTACACTATTGCCAGATTATGACGCTGGGGTGGCCGATGATGTCGTCTTCGATGCGTCGGATGCTACATTCTCACGCGCGAACAAGGCAAGAGTCGCGATAGAATTGATGTATGAGTACAGAAGGCTACTGCAGTATCTTCCTCCAATACCGACAAACTCTAAGAGCAAACCAGCAACGAGCAAAGGTGCTGCAAAGCACGAAGGTGAGCCATCGACTGGCCTTGGAAGACTCTACAATCCACTGCAGTATATCCGCAACAGAAAAGTTCGATTTCGTGAAAGACGACCTCTGGATGCTGAAGCAGCTGGGTGGAAAGACCTCGACCGAGTAAAGATCTGGGTAGATACAGTTGCAAGTGAGCGAGAAGACGGTGTCTCTCGTATCGACCAACGTTTCCCCTTGCCATCCCTGGACACAATTAGTGGCGAGTATCCTGTGGCCGATGGCTTAGAGATTTCGCGCGTTCCACTTTCGGCAGGCTCTCAAATCAGAAAAGTCGAAAGACCGCGTATGGATTGGGAATTTACTTCATGGGACTTGCTTGCGGACGCGCAATGGCTCACCCAGGATGACAATCTCGATCACATAGAAGATCGTTCGGGCAAGAAGATTACGACAGGTCACCCAAATCGTAAAGACAATACGCCGAGAGCAAGTGTCGAGTCGAACAGAAGCTCAGTGCGACGCTCCGAGAGTATTGTCAGAGAACATGCATCTCCCGATAGGGTTCGAGCATTGGCCGGTCACTCCCGTAAGGATTCCAAGGACCGAGGACGTCGAAGCTTAGACGTGCACGAGCAAAGATCACCGTTGTCGGAAGACAATGGTTCTCGGGATCGTAAGTCCAGATGGCCAAAGAAGCTCGTTCGATCTCGAAGCTCCTCAGACTCGGACGATTCTCACCGGGAGAGCCGCCGCAAACAAAACCGTGGCCGTGATTATGCTGGTAGCCGTGATAATCTTGAGAGTGCCGCGTTGGAGAAGCAGATGATGGAAATGCTTGCTAAGGAGGTGGAAGCTAGCCGTCAAGTTGACCAGAGCCCGGAAGAAGACACAGATGCGACGGGGGAGCCTGGTCTGAAGCCTCATGATGGCGGGATGAGGGACAAATATAGGCATCGAGACGCCAAACCTCGTCCAAGTGCTCCCCAACGAATGACAACCGACGTGCCCGTTATAGAAAAGCGTCGAATTGCAGCCAGGGCAAGTCTCGACGAAGACCGATTTCATTATCATCGCATGCCCTCAGATGACCTCGATCCGACAGCGCCTAACTCTCCTACGGCACCTGGATTCGTTCCTAGCATCTCAATTAACCTATCTCCGCCGGCAAGCCCACCATCGGCGGTAGCCTCACCTAAGAAAACGTTGACATCTCGAATGGGATCTTCCCGGCGCGATCGCTCTCGGAGCGTCAATAGGCGAACTATTGGCGAGAACGATCCAGACTCAAGTGGGATGACCGATGTGTCGCGGCAGACTACTAACGAATCTCAACTGGCGAACATGTTACGCAAGGAGCAACCAACGGGATCAAGCAATGGATTACTCACCCCAATCAAGACTGAAGCTGCAGGCATTAAATACAGGCCTCTAGATGGCAATTCCATTAGAAGCATCAAGAACATCAATGGATCCGACTCTAGGCTCCGAGGACTTTTCAAAGGCGGCAGGATTGCAGAGCTGGTAGGCAGCGAGGTCTCTAAAGTTGGCGATATGTTATGGAGAAAAGACAACAATCATGCTTCTCGGGTCACTTCTCCAGCATCAAGCTACGCAGCATCTGAGGAATCGGACATGGACGATGGTGACACGAGTGGATTAGACAGTAGTCCAAAGAATGACCTATCTCGGACCACAACAAAAGATGGAGGAGGAAGCCTGTCAAAAGTGTCTACAAACAGCGACAAACCTAGATACTACATGAGCAATCTTCCAAGCTTTCGATCGTCATTCAACAGGGATGAGCAATCCGCTAAATCCACTAAGGCTTCTCCGGATCACGATCACATCACCCGTCAGCAGTTAGCACAACGTGAAAGAGGAAGGTCAAGCAGATTTGATCGTCTTGCGCCGCCGAAAATTGATCTGAGGGGGATATCGCCCCCTTCTTCTCGAGAACCCTCTCCAGTCGGGTCGCGGACACAACGAACATATGATGAAGACTCTCGCCAAAGCAGTAGTAGCCGCTCAGAACGTGGAGTACGCAGTGCAGACAGAAGGCTCAACGCAATGCTAAGTATTCCTGGCAAAGCAGGGACTGGACGAGCTCCGCCCACTGGTCTCGCAAGTCTAGAGAGTAGGCCACGAGAATTGAGAGGACGCCCGGACTTGGAAGGCAAACGACAATGGAGCATTTCCGATCGAGGCGTCTCTACCGTACGCGGGACTGTTAATAAGCGCGATATTGCTCGAGTCAGAGCTTTGCTGCTCTCGTCAGGAGTGAAAGCCAACGAAATATCCCGCCGAGCGGAGGAGGCCCCCGAAAAACCCGCACCCTTCCTTCAAAGGCTTGAGGACATGTTCAAGGGTCCCATACCACACGTCTCTCGGTCACAGGAGCCATTACTCGCTGCAAGGATAGTGATCAGCAATATTGAGACAAATACCCAGAGATTGAGGGATGATGCTGAGCAATTTTCTCACACCACGATTGAGAAATTGCATGACCAGATCAATGCTATCGACGAGCATGTAACCCATAAGCTCACACCCCTCGTGAGAAATTCCGCGGATGATGCAGACGCCTTCAGCACAGAGCTTACAACTACACATACCTTGGCCATCAAACAGCTGAACGATAGCATAAACACTGTCCTAAGGCGACGCCGCCGGAGGTTGAGATACCTGAGAAGGATAGGATGGGCGACGGTCGAATGGACTCTACTAGGCATCATGTGGATGGTCTGGCTAGTGGTGGTAATTGTTCGGCTTGTCCGTGGCACCCTCGCCGGTTTAATAGAGGGGTTGAGGTGGCTGTTTTGGTTGTAGATTTACCCTGGATACCATGTTCATCGGTCATGCGATTCAGCGAGCATCCTACTGCTGTAGGCGTTACGATACCATCATAGTGTATATTTATCACATCTACTTGACTATCAATAATTCCCCAGGACCGTGGAGGGATTTCTAGAACTTTGCAGGCATGCTGCCAGCAAAAGTAAGGGGTGTAGCGGCATGAATCTCAATGAAGGAGAAATCATTTTCCTGCGTCGAATATCCTTCATGTAGCATTGCTCGACATGAATATATTGACCAATTCGTTCTGGTCAGTACGCGCAAAAGTGTGCAAGATTCAAAGCTGAGAGTCATCTCTCATTCCCAGTCTTGGCACACACTTTAACCTCGTTGGCTCTAGCGTATCAGTCTCCAGAAACATTCCGCGACTTAGGTATGGGAAGTTTTCTGACAGCTTCCCTGCCAAGTAATCCTTCTCCGCAAAGGTGCGCAGAGCTCGCAATGCTTCACCAAGCTCTGCCTCTTACCAGGCAAGTGGTCCGAAGGCCGATTTGCCCCAGATCTAGGACTCAATGGCCCGGAACGCGTCTGAACCAGATCATTCTCCAGGTACACCTCCTGCAATCACACGAGCTTGAACTGGCACTGACAGTTGGCTCTGCAGAGGTCCTTTGCGAATAGAAGAAACATAGACACAAACACAAAGCCTAGCATACACGATTCCGACGCTATCGTTCTTCCTGGAACACAGAGCACCACTGCAACCAAACCCCAACCTCCTCCACCTGGGCCTGTACTATCCGCCTCCCCTGCGCAACCTTCACCGCCTACACCTACCTCTGACGCTTCGGTACCACCTCAAAATGTTCCTCTTATGCCTCCAACCCCGCCTGGAGGCAAGACTCAGACAGCACCACCTACCTCAGTGCCTCCGGGGACCGGTGCAGCTCCCATCCCTCCAACTACTCCACCATCGGACAAGCCTGCTGCGGCAATTCCACCTCCTCCACCTCCACCTCCACCCAGGCGAAGGTCTCGATGGATTCGAAATACCGTTTCGTTCCTGATCCTGGCAAGTGCTCTGGGTTTCGCAGGCGGGACCTTCTATTCTTTACGCTCAGACAACTTTCATGACTTCTTCACCGAGTACATCCCATTCGGAGAAGACGCGGTGCTCTATTTTGAAGAAAGAGAATTCCGCAGACGGTTCCCAAAACTCACGAATCCTACCAATCGTCCATTCCCCGACTCTGGCAATAAGATCACGATACCGAGCAAAAGTGGGGTATCCTGGAAAGTTGCTGGTGAGGAACATCAGGGAACCGATTTGCAGACGAAAGGCCGCCATATGAGCGCTTTGGATGCGAATCAAGGTGAGGTCAAGATAGGGGTTGCCGGACAGACACCCTCTACTGCTACAGGACCTGAGAAGAACAAGGCAGTTGAAAAGGCGAAGAATGATGCAGGATCGGCTCCGAAGACTCCTCCTCCAAGTGAAAAGGCGAAAGCCGAAAAAGCTCCTGCCAAAGCACCACCGCCAACCACAGAACCAAAGCCGCCCGCGCCTGTTCCGCCTCCTCCAAAACCCTCAGAAAGCTCTAAAGATGCATCCAAAAGACCACCAGAGGTAAATGAGCCTAGCAGGTTCATGCCGATGGAGAGCATCGATCCACTTAAGATCAAAAACGCCGATGAGCCCATAGTGCAGGATCTAGTGAAGATCATCAACGATATCATTACCGTAGTAAATGCCGATGGCGCCTCACACAAATACAATTCCACAATTGGCAAAGCAAAAACGGCTCTTGCAAGTGTTGGTGGTCGTATAATGTCTCTAAAGGAAGCCGTCAGGAAGTCTGCAGAAGAGAAAATCAGATCCACCCAAACGGAGTTTGACACTGCAGCCAAAGAGCTCGTACGCCGCCTCGAAGAGGAAATGAGGGATCAAGATGGCAAATGGAAAGACGAATTCGAATCGGAGCGGGAAAAAATAGTCCAATCCTACCAAGAGCGTCTGCATAATGAAAGCCAACGAGCTCAACAACTTTCCGAGCAGCGCCTCCGCAATGAACTCCTCCAGCAAGCTGTTGCCATGAAAAAGCAATTTATCAACGAAGTCACCGATCGCGTTGAAACCGAACGGAACGGTCGCCTCTCCAAACTATCTGACCTCTCATCTAGCGTAACCAAGCTCGAAAAGCTGACCGCGGACTGGAATTCGGTCATTGATGCGAACCTCAAGACCCAACACTTGCAAGTCGCCGTCGAAGCCGTGCGCTCTAGTCTTGAGACCGCTGATCGTCCTCGCCCGCTCGTTCGTGAGCTTGCCGCCCTTAAAGAGATCGCCTCCGATGACGCCGTCGTTAACGCAGCCATCGCTTCCATAAACCCAACAGCCTACCAACGCGGGGTTCCAACTACCGCCCAACTCATCGACCGTTTCCGCCGCGTCGCCGCCGAAGTCCGGAAAGCATCTCTCCTACCTGAAGATGCCGGCGTAGCTAGCCATGCAGCTAGCTTCGTGCTGAGTAAATTCATGTTCAAAAAGACGGGTATGACGGTCGGCGATGACGTAGAAAGTATCCTTACGAGAACGGAAACGCTGCTGGAAGAGGGGAATCTAGATGAGGCGGCTAGAGAGATGAATACGCTGGATGGATGGGCGAAGACGCTGAGCTGGGACTGGTTGAGTGAGTGTAGGAGGGTGCTGGAGGTGAGGCAGGCGATGGATGTGATTTCTACCGAGGCGAGGTTAGAGGGGCTGAAGGTTGATTAGATGAGCAACTGTATTATATGCACGCCTACCATACGCGTCGTATCTGTACCGATAGTGTTTATTCGCTATCCCTTCTTGTTCGCCATGGGTCGCGATGCGTAGGAACCAGGACTCCCTGAAGCTCGGGCAAGACTTGCCAACGCAAATGTCCTCTCCTCCCTGACCACGAGCCCATCATGGCTTCGCTTCCCTCTGACCGCCAGCGCTTGTGTTTCGCCTAGCTGCGCCGTGGAGCTCCCCTCCCCTACCTATATTCTCCAAGAAGATCGCTCAAAGTGCTGCAGATATGTGTCCGGGTAAGAACCCCTTCGTTAACTATATATACACGAGCTCTCATTCCGCTCTCCTCTGCCAGCCCTCCATTCGAACCGCGCAATTTCCATTCACATACTCCGAACTACCGTGCTTAACCCTCACCATCGCGAAGGGCGTACGACCTATCGGCTTTCAAATGCTCTCCATCCATGTCTTTCGACCTTCTGCCCTGCCTCCTCTACACAACGGAATGGAGACGTGCGTGGGTGGGGTTTCTTTCCCTAACCGTACCGGACCGGACATCTGCCTCGCCGTGGGTGGTATGACCCGTCTTTGCAACGCGGAGGCTGGATCCGACCGATGAGGGTTTCGCCTCTGAGTTGGCGGGTATTGAGCACGGTGTGGTCGTTGGTGAGCTGGATGGAGGGACGTACAGATGCCGCCGAGTGTCATGGGATTCGTGCGCGAGGGTGCATGGGCTCGGAGGATGTGGGTGGGTGTCGTGGAGGTGCGGAGAGGGGTGGCGGGGCAGGTGGATGGGTCATAGTGGTTGTGTTTGGAGGCGTGGGCTTTGAGGATCGGGTTCCTTTGGTAGATGGGTTCAAGAATTTGAGTTATGCTCTTTGTTGTGCACCCGAACATGTTGATTGAGAGATCTCTTCGCGAGGGCTTTGGGTACGAAGATTGAAAAGGTTGTCGATTCGTCGAAGTTTGCGGTTCAGGGACCTCGCCGTACGTTGAGTGTTGTGGAGCTGTTGGAGCTTGATCGATTTCGCAAATCCCTAAATGGTCATTGAAAGCAGACCGACCATGAGGTTCCCCGCTGTCCAATGCTCTTCTTGATACAAGTCTAGACGTGAATGACAAATATTTCCAGGTCGATGCCCCAATCGACGTGAGAACATGGGACCTCCAGCGCCTCGGGCTGCCACTTTTCCTGACGGCTTGCCTGCCGTCGGGACATCGAGTCGAGTCTCCGGACGTATCATGTCACCGAGTTGTACTTCCTCAGCAGCTCTTTCACTCTCCCACACCAATTCCCCGACTCCATAGCGACAACCTCGACAGTCTTCCCGTCAATAGTCTTCATGCCTTTCACAAAACTCGAATGCTTCAAAACCGCCTCCAACACGTCGGCATTGCCCAATTTCGCAGCGTGGTGGACTGCCGCCCATCCGTCTTGACCGACGATGTCTCCCACGTTATCGAGTTTTAGCAGAATCATCGCACTCTCTGCGCTGCCGTGACGAAGAGCGTGGATGAGCGCACTGTTGCCGTCGTGGTCTTTCACCGTGACCATTACGGAGTCAGGAGGAGATAGACGTAAGAGCAATTTCAGTGACTCGGTCTCGTCCTGTATGCACGCGTGATGGAATGTGCTCTTTCCGGAGGTATCTAACACATCGAGTCTCGCACTGGCATCGATCAACATTTCCATGCACTTGGGATCATCTAAGAAATCGAACATTGGTGGCCGGCCGTCCACATCTTGCGCATTGATATGCGGTCCACTTTCTCCGCCACAAAGTAGAGCAACAATGTCTCGTCTGATATCACCTCGCGTCGATAAACCCGCACAATGAAGCGGAACCTGCTGGTCCTCTTGTCGAACATTACGGTCCGCTCCTGCTTCCAAAAGAAGCCGAACACATTCCACAGACCCCCAGGCAGCCACATGCAACGGTGTTTCTGCCCAGCGGTTGGCCTGATTGATATTGAGCCGCTGCGGATATTGTTTCCAGATTTCAAGAGCGCTAACCAAGCCACTCAGTGCCTTAGACTCTGCTGCAGCGTGTATGATGTTGGCATCCAAATTTGATAATATAAAAGGGTCTGCGCCGTGGTTTATGAGGATCTTCATTTTGTCTGTTCGTCCAGCCGAACTGGCCCAGTGTAAGGGCGTCCAGCAGTACTTTCTGTCTTTCTGATCGAGGAGGTTGTGAATGATTTTGGGAGTCTTTGGTTTCTCGGATGCCGAAGCTCGAAAGAGCTCAATGATTTCACCGAACAGTGGGGACCTCTTTCGGTATCTTGTTTTCCACTTAGCCCAGTCCGTTCCTGCAGGAGCGTTGTTAGCATCGTCGACGAGTTCTATGAGCCTGATTTCTAAGTCAGTATTACTTGACTTAGGGAAGACCAGGAGTTGCGAGATACAATCTATGAGCTGTAAAACACGATTGGGAAGGAGAAAAGCTCTCACAGCTCAGGAAGGGTGCTGCGCATAGGAAAAATAGCGCAGTCCAAGAAATTCCTTACTGTTCAAGCGTTGGGCGCTCCACGTCTGTAGGCTTATAAATGTCGAGAACAGCAATGTGAATCGGCGTGAATTCAAAATCGCTGATATAGTCATCTTTTTGAGAAAAAACTTCCACAATGTCTTGTTCAACACGTGTCGAGTCCGCGCCCAGCGATTTCAAGATAGCTAGGTCAGCAGGTTTGCTATTCGCAAGTATTAGCTTCGTGGGCTTGGAAGCATTCATCGACTGCAACCAACCGTGTCCCAACGTCAGCAGCTTCAGTATCAGCACCAAGTCCTACAAGGTATTTCACAATGGGTAGTTGTCGATTGTAGGCAGCGGTCTAAATACTGTAAGCTTATCTCATATTTTCCCATGATTGAACTCACGTGGAGAAGAGACCATCCATCTGGCGCCGTGTCCCATAGAGTAGCCTCTCCAGATTTGATGCAGGCTTTCAGCTTCTCCAAATTTCCATGCTTTACATATCGCATTGCGTCCGACCCCTCTGATACCATTCGATAAGTGTTCAGGTCATAGCGAACCTTGATACTTTTGGATGACATCACCTGTGAAATGGCTTTGCGGAAGAATGTAGAAGGGACCACAACCTTTTCCCCAATTGATTTTGCACCTTGACAGCTGGGCTCGCTGCACTGATACTGCGGCGGTTTGACCTTCGACAAACCTCTAATTGGGATAGGCGTACTCTGTGCGTGGCATTTGCAAAAACAGTCATATCGGCACGCTCGACGAATTTCCAATGCGTCTGTTGAATGACCGTCGACATTTGTCGTTTGGTTCGCCTCGTGGTGGACGTGGACGCTGTCTACAAAACTCTGGACCAATGGAGATGTCGGTGAGGTATCAATTGAAAGCCTCTGTAGTGACGAGGTCGAACTTCCAACAGATGACGCAGTAGTATCGATAGATATTCTCCGAAGCGAGGATTTCGAGCTACCAGATGCAAGCGTTGAAGGTTCAGACATTATGGAATCCTGGAGAGATGCGGAGTCGCTTTCTCCATCGTCTGTTGAGCCGATCTGGAGGAACTCTGGATGTTGGCTGCAGACCGCAAGAAATGTTTCTCTAAAGACTCGTATGAGTCAATCCGCAGTCACTTTGGAAGATGGGGCTACGAACGCATGCGCTAATGCCAAAAAACTTTGCAGCATTGCACTCTGCTCCTTGATGCGGTCGTGAAGCTTTTTGAGGCCCGATTTGTGCTGCACCCATTTCATTCGACGTATAGGTGAGACTTCGGACTTCGACATTTGTACCAATCTCGTCTTCAGATCTTGGATTGTTCCGAAAGCGTCTTGAAGCGCGCTATGTATGACTTTTGCAGATATGTTGTGTCTCGTTTGGCGGCTCCGCAACACGCGATCGAAGCCCTTGAGAGCTTCGTCAAAAATCGAGACATCATTGAAAAGTTCAAGGATTTCTTTCTCGGCATCTTTGAAACTCTTCATTAACTCCAAAAGAGAATTACTGGTCTGGATGAGCTGTGACACTGAGGATAGTAAGCCGAGGGCTGTTATGGGATCCATGCTTGCTCTGCATTACAGTTGCGGGGATCTCTTCGGTGGGTCAGCGCAAAGTAACCAAACCGTAGACCACCTTTACGATACGCTCGTAGATGTTGGGGGCCCCAAAAGAGCACTCTAAGAGCTCTCCATGAAAGGTTAGACCTTATATTAGGAAGTGTTTTCGTCTCAGTCTCAGTGGTGGAGGCTGATTATAGAGCCCAGTGCAAAGGTGATAGGCCAGCTCTGCATATCGTTCTATTTTTGCGCCCCACAGGCTTTCCGCCGCAATTTCACCAGCGACAGAAGTTCAAGTTTGTAATAGAACATGGAGGAAAAGAGACCGTCCAGGGCAGCTGTACATTGAGTCGATTGACCACGAGAACAATGCAGATCTAGAACACATGGAAAGCAGTGTACTGCACCTTAGAAGCAAGTCGTCAATGTATGGTGTCTAAAAGAGGTAGCACTGCCCCGCTCGTGGCGCTTCACTGCAGGGCGAAATCACTGGCTACCACCGTGACAAGGGTAAGACCCTAGTATCTACGGCGGACGACGGCTGACACTACGACAAAACCAAAAAAAAAAAAAAAAAAAAAAAAAATTCTCTTTTCATTTTTCTTCTTCGCGATTTCTAGTAACTCTCTCACTCTTTAGGGGCTACTCTCCGGGGTACTCTCCGGGGTACTCTCCGGGGTATTCTTCCGGGTACTCTTCGAGGTACTTTCTAAGGTACCCTCCCGGGTACTCTTTCGGGTACTCTTCCGGGTACTTACGACGGATAATAACTAATACTACAGAGGTCTGCACCGAAAGTCCTGCACCCGCACTAGTAAAGCCCTAACCCTACTTTCGGAAAGCGGCCCTATAGAGGGGAAGCCTAAAAATATCTTCTTATAGCGTATAAATGGGACTTTAGGTACTTCTTTTAGCCTTGATAGGGGCAGTAAGCCCCGAACCTGACTAGGGCTAGGTGCGATTC